CCCCCCCACCCACACCCCCTCCCCTACCCACTATGACGCATTTTTCAAATTTCGCCTTGGGGCAGAGTTATCTTTTCACAGCGGAGGTAAGATACACTTTAAGACTTGTAACATTTCAAATCAGACAAAATTAAAGTTCCTTTTCAGTCATTTCACTCAGTACAACACACAGTTGTATATGGGACACGCGCGCCTGGCTGAAGCCACCTCTAATCACGTCTTTAGACCGGTGATGTTGAACGTCGGGTGACAGGCTCCCCCTTCACCCTATAAGTTCGGAGTCACCAGCGTCATTACTCAGTTCTATCGCCCTTCACCTCGCGATAGTCACCTCTAAACTTGAGCTCACATAGCTGCTGCTAGTTAGCTCAGCTTCTAAAGTTCTAAGGATAGCTTTACTGGTGCTAACCGCGTTACCTGCTGGTTCGTGTGTCTGCCGCTTGACGCTACATAAGTGACCTTTATTTTCTGCTGAAACTCTGTTTTGTGGTTCACGATGAGCACAAAACCACCTTCGAAGAAGCCGAAGTCTTCTGTTAGCCCCTGTCCTCAGGGGTGCGGCTTTAAGCTTCATGAGAAGGACCAGCATGAGGCCTGCCCGGCCTGCCTAGGAATCATTCACGCTCGACGGGCGCTTGTGGAGCCCGAGTCCTGCCGGGCCTGTGCCAGACTTTCAGATCCGACACTGGAAAGGAGAGTGAAATTCCTGGAGAAAATGCTGGGGGAAACTGCTGTTTTCCAACACGCTGCTCTCCGAATCCAGCCAGACGGCTCAGTCCGACTAAGACGAGGATTCGGGGTCGAAGCCCCCGCTGCTAGCTGGGCGGACCAGATGGAGCACGAGGTGGCCTCACCCGACATCGAGGTGGGCGAGACCCAATTTCTACTGGATCTAAACCAATAGGAGGACGATGTTCTGCAGATGGAGCAGGAGGTTCTCAGTCTGTCCAAAGACGACGAGGAGGTGCCCAGCTCACTCCACACCCGCTGCTGCGAGGGTGGACCAGGATTCGTCCTTCTTGTCCCTGTGCCACCGAGCTGCTGCTAAACTGGAGGTACAGTGGCCCGAACCCCAACCTGCTCAAAAGCTGTCAAGGTTCGCAGGGTTTTATCTCCCGTCTGAACC